GAACGCGGCCACTGCACACCCCAACAGCAACGACGAACTGCAGCGCACCGTGGAGGAACATGAGATGCTTATCACCGAGATGAGGGCTACGCCTTGTGTATGCCGCGATGCAAACCACAGGCATCAAGTGCAGCAACTCCAGGATGCCATTGCTAATCAGCAGTCGACCATTTCGCGTCTGCAGCAGTCCTTGGTGGTCGAAAGGGGCGCTCAGGGTGCAATTGAAGGAATCGAGGAGCTTCGTAGAGTCCTCGAAGATCACGAAGCTGCGCTTGAAGATGTGCGATGCTTCGCTGGCGACTGGACGCCGCTGCAACACCGCAAGGGGATGGAGGAGCTCCACAGGAAGGCAGAAGAATTGGGGAATGCTGTAGCAGACGTCAAGACGTGCATTGAGGCCAGCGCCAAGGAGAACTATGGTCGCAGGTTGAAAGACGTGGAAGAGGCAATAGCGAAACAGCAGGAGAGAGTTTCTCAACTCCATTCGGTTGGCGTGGATTCATCGTTGCGCAGCCAACAAGATGTAGAAAAGCTGCACCGGAGAGTTGATGAGCAGCAGATTGCGATTGCGGAGCTGAAGTCACAGTTTGGCAAGAAGGACTACCAGGACAAGAAGGAAGACCAGGACAATCTTCGTGAAATTATCAACCAACTTGAAAGCCGTCTAAAACGCCAGGATGCCAGCATCGCTGGAATCAAATCAACAGCGATTGAAGCGGCAGAGGAGGAGCGCCAGAAATTTGAGTCTGTGGATATGACACTAATTGGTCACAAGGCATCCATTCACAAAATTCAGGCATTTTTCGAGAAGTACCCTCCTCTGGACCACCACAAACTGCAAGCACTGAGGAATGATCTTGACAACCAACGAGAGCAGTTGGCGAAACTCGAAGCATCCATTCGGGTCTCGTCGAACAACGGGTATCAGGCTCAGAATGCCGAGGGAGTGAGAGCAGCTATGACCAACAAGATTGCTGAAGTGGAAGCCCTCAGGGCTGGTCTCGAGAACCAACGCCTTGTCACGGCACAGCTCGAGGCATCCATACGGTGTTTGCCGCTTAGCCAACGCCAAAATCAGGAATTTGAGGAGTTCAAAGTAGACATGGCTCGAAAAGCAGCAGATGTGGAAATTCTCAAAGCAAAATTTGATGAGCAGAGAATGATGGCGGCGAAGCTAGAAACATCAGCTATGGGCTTGCCGCTGAATAAACCTTCAGCAGTGGAAATCGAAAACTTGAAAGTGGCTGTGGCCCAAAAGGCGCTTGAACTGGATCGATTAAAATACGGTATGGATACCCAGGCACAGAGCATCAGGCAGCTCGAGCTGTCAATGGCGTCGCTCAAATCTGATGTGAAGGGAGCTCACGCCCATCAACGCCATGACGGTGGCACAGCAAATGATCAGCAGCAAAAGGCAGGGATTGAATTCACTGAAGAAAAGCTGCAGGGCCTTGCGGCAGGCCTGGACGCCCTTGATAGAAAAGTGACTCAGGCGAGGGCGGAAAGCAAGGATGCCCAAGAAAGAACCCATGCCGCAGAGAAAGCGATGAGGGACCTCCGAGCAGAGGCCCAAGCCTTCCGTGAATCACAGGCTAAGATATTGGAGCTGGAGGAGCGAATGAGTCAGCTTGCATCAAGTGCTGAGAGCGGGCGGCAAGCCACCGAGGGGCTGCGATCTGGTCCGTCTCAGAGCGAGGCGGCCACCAGTTCGAACGCAGTGGGCGCAGACGTCATCAGGCACCTGCAGAGGACCTTCAGCGAATCCATACATGCCCTGGAAGGAAAAGTGGAAGCGCGAGAGTGGGACATGCTGGCGCTGGAAGCAAAGCTATCATCTGTCGCTGGTGGTGAAATGGCGTCAACAGTGGAGATACAAGGCCAGATGGTGGATGAGGCCAGTGAGGCTATTCGCGACATCCAAGAACAACTAGGCCGGATGGAGGAAAGAGTGCAGCAAGCTATTGAGCGAAGTGGTGGTGCGATGGCGCCTTCTCAGGAACACGCCGAATCCTTGATACACGCCGTGAATGAGATAGGGCAGTCCCACTCAGAGGGTCTTCGAGACTGCAGAGAGCGATTGCGCAACGTGGAAGGACATGTTCGCAAGATGCGTGGCTGCGAAGCTGGCGTGCACATGGCTGGGTGCGGCCTGGAACCTAGAATACATTCTATACAGGAAACTGTGGAGGCCTGCATGAAGCAGGTGCAAGAGTTGAAGGAATCAAGGGGAGCTGACTTGAAGGATATGAGGATGACAGCGTCAGAACTCACTTCTCGTATTTGGGACCTGAGAGCGCAACTCCAGAAAATAAATCGGCTTTTGCCCTTGGCAGGATCACTGGATGGAATCGAGCCGGGAGGTGTCGAGTCCCCGAGTTCAGCGATGCGTCCTATCTCTAAAAGGCTGTCGCGGAAGAGCAGTAAACAGAAAATCACTCGCAAAAAATCCAGTCTCTCGAGCGAAGTAGATTTGAGTCGATGCTCTTCTCTTGGTGTCCAAGAGGTGGCTGAAGGGGAAGACAAGTCACGACCATCGTCGAGCCACAAGACGTGCGGACAGGGCATTGAAAAACAACGGAGTTCTGGAGGCACCAGGCTCAGTACTGCAGCAAGCGCTGTGAGCCTTGGATCGCAGCGATTGAGCGGCCGCCCAAGTTCAGTCAAAGACAGCCATCAGCACATGGGGAGCACTCTTGATGATCACACCGACGTTCGCAGGAGCAATTCAGTTGCTTTGCCATCAGTCTCCTTTGAAAGCTCTGTCATATCCGAGGCATTGCAGGTTGCAGACAGACTGTCAAGGCGGTGTACTGCCGACCGCCAATTCAGCTACCCTGCATTGCGATCGCCATCTCATGGCAGCAGCGTGATGGGAGACGCTGTTGCGGGGCCCCAGGAGCTGAGCGAGGAACCGCAACCGCATGGTGAGCTGCCCATTCCCATCGCCTCGCTTTGGACCTTTAAGCAATGCCCCTGCGAGTGGCAACTGCTGTGGGAGGCGCTACTTAAATCTGGTTTCCCATATGTGGATTTTCTGCTTGTTCGGTACGGAGTGTTCTAATGCTTGATCTGCTTCAAACACTTGTGCTGATCACGTCGCGCTACTGGCCAAGGCAAATTCACGTCTAGAACGTGCACCAAGATATTATCGTCAGACGAGCACAAAACACTGAGCAAACACACTGCACATGCCACCAGACAAAATGTGACCATGTGAAGAAACACACCACCAGAAGTTGGCATTGACGCGGATGGCCACAAACTGCACGTGAGTTCAAAACGGGTGTCCAATGCATGCCGCGGCCAAGCGGCTGGTGCTGATATCGCAATGTGCCTTGCAATGTTGACATGAGCCCTGGCGCGTTAACGCTGCACAGGACGTGACAGTGGCCTACCTGGAAGTCCCAAGATGTCCATCATGTATCCAGCGTTCAGCGAGGGTGGGGTAGTGCAACATGGCTCCCCCTCAGGAAACAGGCTGAAAGGCACCGATGAGGGCATGGGAAGCGGGGCAAGGCAGTGGCCCGGCGCCCGGGCTCGGAGCGGCCTTACCACCATGTCGTCAAATCCTGTCTTTGCGTGCGGAAACGGAGAAAGAGCGTCAGACTCAGTGGCGTCCGAATTCAGTGACTGATCGGCCATGCCATTCAGGGATGAAAACGGCAGAAAGCCATTTAGAAATTTCATGATAAACCATCGGGCGTACAGGATTCTGTTAGAGGGGGCTCCAGGGACAAATTCTGGCCGTAGTTTGTGTGTGCTGCGAGCGCGGGCGCCATTGGGACTCCAGCACGCAGGTGCAGTATCAATTTGCCCCAGGGATTAAACTGGGGGTGCAGGGGGCCACTTCGGCTCGCCGGTGTCCCAATGGGTGGACCATGGCGCTATATTCTGGGTGGCATCGAAGGAAATCATTTCCCTGGGAAATCGCTTGCCCACGCTATTGGAAGCTCGGGTGTGTGCTACAGACCACTGGTGGGCTGCGTACAATACCCAAAACGCCACCACACTGCTGACAGGGGCGAATTGTGTGGGCCAATGCGTGGGGTTGCAAATTGTGGCGCTTGGTGTGCGGCTGGCTCTGGTGCGCTGCTGAAACCAGGGCACCAGGTATGCCACCCATCAGTACACTGGCCAGGATGACGCTCACAACATCGTCAGTCACTGGACTCCTCCTGAACACGGCTTTGCGACCGTTTCCGGTGTAGCGTAGGAATTGAAGTCAAGCAGGACCGCAATCAGGCAACATTAGGCCAGGTAGAAGGCAAGGACGTGGGCCTGGGACATGTGCATGGATAGAGGACAACAACGTTATGTGCCGGCCAAGGGGTTGATAGACAGTTGGGGCTGTTGCTGTGGAGGCAGCGAAACCTGTAAATTATTGCAGCGTGGGTGTGAACACCGAAACAGCCAGCGGAGGGAACAGCGCAAGATGAGCCATTGCTCATCAGTGCGCAGCAAGAGCGCGGAATAACGCAAGGCAAAGTGAACGTTGCCCACGGCGGAAGGTAATGACACTCGCTGCCTGTGCCAGGGGCCCAATATAACTGCAATGTGCGGCAATGCCCAGTAACGCAGCGCACACTTGACATCTAGCGGCCAGACTCGAGCGCGGACCATCCAAAGCAGTACTGACATGTGCTAGGCAGAAGAACCTGCATTGTACGGAGACCGCAGTCAAACACCGCATTCCGACATTCAACAACATCCACCGGTCGACTTCACACATTGCGTTTCTCTGACGGCATGCATGGTCAATTTCGGAGGTCGACTGCCTACCCAACCACCAACGGAGTTAAGCTGTCCACAACATGCGAGCGTCTTCAATCCCCGGCGGCTTGCACAGAGAAAACTAACTACACGACTTCTTGTGCTCCAATCCAGGGTTCAGAGCCCTTTACACGGCTGCCCTGCAAATGTAATGCATGCCCTTCCTGCACTTCCTGCACAGCAGGCACTCTTGGTATTTCTACCCTTCCTCGTGACCGCCTTTATACATATAGATAAATGGAGCCCTCATCCTCACGCATCGACGCCGCACTACCCATGAGACCTTTCCACAGCAAATAATGTACAATCCATCGGTGATGTATCTAAACAGAATCACAACTGCAACAGATTGAGTCATTGATGACGTGCATATCCAGACCCTGAAGCCAAACTGGCCTGCTGCAAGTTGACCCCAGCTCTGGAACGCCCCTGCTCTCTCACGTCGTTCCAGCAGCACGCAATCAAGAGCCTTCACAGAACTTGCAGCCACCTCAATCCTTGCTGGTTTGTCCCACCCTTGCTCAGTTGCGCACAATCTTTACTTTGCACTGATGGCTGTACCTGTCTTTTCTGCCAGGGTTTCCTCCTTCTTTTCACCAGCCTTCTTCTCTGGGCGCTTGATATGCAGGAGGGACTCGATGACATCTCTGCAGATTGGGCACCGTGATACTTGCTGCCGCTGCAACTCCCTGGCACATTGCTCACACATGCACATGTGCCGGCACGGCAGCACAGTCGTGTCGCGAACGGCTGCAAGGCAAATGACACACTCCCTCCCCTCCAGGTCCTCACTGTAGCCTGCAGGGTTTGGCATGGCACCCTTCTCCTTCTTGTCACCCCCATAGATGTCCTGAATTCCGTATATTTCCTGCAGCTCATAAGAGACGTTCTCGACCCATATCTTCTGCCGTATGGGTCGGGCCTCCCAGGTGCCATCTTCATCCTTCACAAGGCAGGCATATGTTGTCTGCGACTGGACCCATGTGGGAGTCGCGCAGCCAGGCTCCAGTTCTCCAAGCTTGTGACCTTCCTGTACACCCTTGTCCGTAACAGTCTCCAAACGGATAACGATGGGGACAGCATCCGTCTTGCTGAGTGACAGGTTTGTGAGTTCAGCTGTGGTGTACAGGTCCACGTCCAGGGAATGGGCTTTGGCACACTCTTCATCTCCTGGTGGTGGGAACATGTGCCCCAACTGCACGCAAGGACACAGCCCAAGGATCAGCACACTGTTGCCTGGTGCTCTTGGGACTTCAACCATTCAACAGGATTACAGGAGCTATGGCATGTGATGACGAGCCACCAGGTAACATGAACTGCTGTTAATTGTGTCCACAGTTCATAACACAAGTGGGCATGTCAGTGCCAGGAAATGGCCATGCAATGCTCCTATCATTCCTGGTGATTCATTGCTGCATGGTGCATCGCATATCATAGACAACATGTCCACCCCTTGGTTTGTTTTCGTTCTAGTCGTCAACATACCCCTTTCTCGTACAAAACTCGTGATCCAGCTTCTTGCTTTTGTGTGGTCAGCCTGCAAGCCTTGTCTGACTCCTCTTTGGCCATGAAGAAGACAGTAACACTGCACAGCAGCACAGCACAGCATCACGTCAAAATCGCTAAAAAGGAAGACGCCAGTCCTGCTGACCACTTCCCAACAAGAGTCCCTTCTCACAACCACAGACCACCCACCACAAACAATGGTAGTCGCCCACTGATGAGTGCATAAATGCTTCTCCCTTGCTGCCACAGCACCCCCGCATAGTGGAAAGGAGATGTTTTCAGCGGTCTCTGAGCATTCCTCATAGCTACCTTCTGTCAACCCGTGTGTGATAGCATTGTGGGGTGGCCCCATGTCCCACTCCACCCCACAATCACCGTTAACTACAGATGGGCAAAGGCTGCGCTTCCAGTCGCTCAACAGCACCTCGGCGTGCAGAGTGCGCCCCCAGCCCTGCCGCCGCCTTCGCAAACGCACCTGCAGGGCGCCGAAGCGTCAAACTTGAAGGTGGGCGTGATCAGGCTCCCCTCGCCCGCCCTCGGCACCACCCGCAGCGTGGGCTTCTTCAGGTTCACCTGGTTGCGGATGGTCTTGGTCTGTTGCAGCTGCGACGCCTGCGGCGCGGGCGGCCCAGGCTGCCTGTAGCCAGGCCCCTGCCGATAGCCCTGCGCCCCGCACGGGACACGACACCCAACCTACGTCAGGGTTGCTCACAATCACGACGCGCACGCACCAACTTTGACGCCACCCATGGCGCAGGTCGCCCCATCTGCACAGATGCCGACGATCGTCGCAGGAATCGGGCGACCGGGTTCTCAGCGCCACACGCATCGGTACGAGGCCGCGCTTTGGGCGAACACAATGGCCAGCCTCGCGCGCTGGCGCTCCTCACCGGATACTGGTCCGGGTACTGAGTGGGCAGGTTCCCGTAGAGCCGTCCGTTGTTAGCGGGCCGCGGTCCGTATCCAGTGTGCTGCATCACACCGGTGCAGACCCACGTGAGACTCCGGCCAGGCGCCACCCCGCCCTACGCGGGGTTCCCCACGCGGGGCGGGACATACGACACGGCCAGGCGAGCACGGCGGGGGTTTGGGGAAATGATGCGATGGCGTGACGCGAGATGAACCTACCTGAGCATACGGCTGGATGGTTTGCGCCGCGGGCGCGGGCTGCGCCTGCTGCCCCTGCTGCCCGTGGTGCCTCCTGCTGAGGCTGTTCCCCATCCGATCGGGCGGCCGCGCGGAGCGCGGAAGGGGCGACAAGCCGCAGAGGTGCGGGTGGCGCGCGGCAGCGCGAGCAGGAGGCGGTGTCTTGGGCGGGGAAGGGGGTGGGTGGGGTGGGGCGCGGCGGCCGCTCCTCTCCGCGGGCGTCGGCCTGGGGCTCGGACGGCTTTCGGTTGGCTTGGCGATCAGGGTATGCACGGGGGGGCTACAATAACTGGCTGCCCCAAATCGGTCACTTGGGAGGCGGGCGGGCTACATGCGCAGGGGGTACCCGGTACTCACGGGTACCGCAGTCATCGGGGCCCCCACCATCACGCAATTTTAGTTGCCGATTGGGAGGGCGCTAACGCGATGGTGTGTCGTGTTGCCAGAGCGTGAACTCTGGAGGGCCTTCCGGGGAGGTTTGCGGCTCCCCCGCCCGGCAAGGCAGTCATTTTTGAGCGGGCGGGGTGAGAGAGGATGGTCGAATGTATCCGAGGTGCCCCGCTTGAATGGCGCACGTGAGCTCCGAATTTGTTTGTGGCTTTTCTACGGCAAGCGCCGATTCTTTGCCGGCGGCTTCAGCCGTTTAAAATGCGTAGATTATCAGGGGTAGTGCTGGCTGACTCGCCCTCGCTGCCCTTTTGTCACAATTGCATTTTCGACAAGGTGCAGGAACTCGAGAACCAACAGAGGCACTTCTCATTTGGTTTCGCCTTGCGAGAGAAACGGCTATTGTACATCCCGCAACTTGTTGTATTCAGCATGCGGCTGGGCTGCAAAGCCCCACCCCCTGCCCATTTGGGGCTTGCAGGTTGAGTCGGGCATTGTGCAGCGCTGACGAGACCGTGGCATGCGGATCTTCCTGTACTGCCATTAGTAAACCAGATTTTCCCCTCAGTATCTAGCGCATCGGAGCCCGATCTGCGCCGTCGCCAGTGCTGGGAAGTGGCGACCTCCCAGCACGCCCAGAGGGAACCGCTGAAGTTATCGCGTGAGACCGGCGAGGTGGACTAACCGGGATGGCGCTGGGTCGCTGTCCAACCGCCCCGCCCATTCCCAACGCTTGCCCAAGTCGCGGCGCCTCTTTGAGAAGGGCTGCCTACCCTTTGCTGGGTGGCCCAGTGCTGCGGCCATGCCGGAAGGTGGCGAATCGTTCGGCATTCCAGCCCATGGCAATGCCAGGATCCTGCAGGCTGATGTTTGGGCGCGAAGGGGCTTACGGGGCCAGGAGTGGCGGCGCAACATCCCGATCGGCGGCCGTCTCTGAAGGCAGCTCTCAGTACAAGCGGCCGATGCTTGATGCTCAGATTGTTGTGGAAGGAGCGGAAGGTGAGTCTTGGCTCATGCGCGACGGGCGCTTGGAGAGAGATTGTATTGTACCCAGTCCTGGATATCGGGTGATACACCAATGCACACACTCCTCCAAGAGTGTGGTGGTTTCAGTCTACGTCACAGACGCTCGCAACTAAATATTCCCGCGAACGCAACTCAATATTCCCCCGAATTCTGAGGCGTCTTTGAGAGAGGTGCGAACGAGGGGGGATCCCCGTCACAAATCGAGAAAGTTCTGCCTATTTGCCTTGTTCTTTGCTTATCCTTGGGCTCGGCCAACGACGAGTGGAAAACTGCAGAAAGGGGCACATTAATACATCAACGATGAGGTGTTCCAATGAGTGGGCATGCCGGTTGACAGCGCGCCCCAATATCAAGCAGAACCATCCCAGCCTGTGCTGCCAGGCTTTCCCAGATCACTGTGTTTGATTTACAGTGCAGTGATCGGCGTTCCTTGGTGTTTGTTCCAATCCGAATATCAGTGTTTTGCAACAAAACCAGGTTACCTCTCGTCTGTCTCACAGCTTTCAAGAAAGGTAAACCTCGATTGTTGTGAACATGGCAGTTTGGAAAGCGCAGTGGTAGTTCGAGGGCGTCGAAATGCCCCTGACGAATGCACGACAAAGAAAGGTACTGCTAAAAAGGCCTATCGTCAAGTGAACCCAAGGTGGGTGTCCTTGATCCGGCATCACCTGGTGGATAAAAGAACAATGATTTGTCGCATTTGGGCAAATGCAGTTACAGAGCTTTCATGTCTTCCAGGAAAACCACAACCATCAACCCATTTGTCCGTGACTGGGCAGCCATAAAGTGCGCCAGTATTCTATGTTGACTTTGCATTGATTGAGGTTATCTGTTGTTCAATAATGCATAACAAAAATGCATTCCTGCATCGTGACAAGAGTGGTGTTCACTTGCAATTTTGCACTTCCTGACTTCAGCGGCTGCTGTGGATGATGACTACACCAGTGCCGATGCTGATGAGAGGAGCCGACTTTGGAAAGCGGCCATCAAGCTACCTATGTACTGGGTGGCTGCGATTCCTGTCCTGGTGAGTGCCAAACGTTCAAATGTTTGCAACTGGGTGTCCATACAATTGTTCAATAGGGGATTCCTGTCAAGTAGTTCATCATGGGTACACAAACAGCAAGACATGGGATGTGCCTCTTCCGACTGTTCCATTGGGCTGTGCAGAAGGGCGGCCTTTAGAGCTTCTCAATTGGTGGGTGCAATTTCACCAGCAGTGCCATACAGCAACGTTGTCTGTTGCTGAAATCAGCTCTTTGAATGGGAATTTGGCAAATACCACCGTTGTTGCTGCTTCCCAGTGTGTATCCACAACGCTGGGTGCCATCAGCAGCAAGCAAACTTTGGCCAAGAGCATCAAGGGTCATTGCCAAGACACCGTTGCGATGTACCACATGAGTATTTTTTGAATCCCGTCGTGGCTGCTGTTTGGCTCGAGCAGTGCTATTCGGGGGGCAAATGAAACTGCCTAGGGCCGAATAGCATGGGAGTGATATTGTTTCCCAAACCATTAACGATGGCTTTCTGACATGCAGTGCTATTTGGAAAACCATATAGCACCCCAGAACAATGGCTCCCACCATTAACGATGTTCTTAGTGCACCCATGGATGACTTTTTGAAATAGAGAATATCATTAGAATGATATGTGCAGCTGCCTACTTGGGCAAGTAGATGGCAGCATAGCAGACCAAGACAAGAATACCATGTAGTCCTTACTCTGGTCACACATTGTATGCTTGGCACACTCTCATTCAGTTGCCACACCCAGGCAAAGGGAGACAGACTGTAGAGGTTGGCTTGGACAATAAGATGCGTGTAAGAGATGCTCTATGAACAAGTACCTGTTTGTGGGAATAGTCAAGCATGCTGATATGCTCAACATCGGGTGCTGCATTGGACGCCAGGTCATTATCTATGTCTACTTGTCATTGCACCCTGTAAAATACACTTTGCACATCTTCTTGTACATATACAGCATCCTCATACTTACAATCACAATAGCAGGCAATTTAATGTTGTTAAGAAAGTAACCACAGCGTTTTCTGTATTCTGTTGTTGTACTTTCAGTGCAGTTTGATTGTCATCATATGGCTGTCATGATCTGGTGGCTAGGATTTTCTTTCGTCAGTAGTTCAGTCAAGACCAGTTCTTGAGTTCTTTCTTAACTACAAGCAGCCAACTGTGTCAACAACACCAGTGTTGTTTATACACTGCTCTTCGTTGTCAATCCGTACTTCACATTTTTCACCTCTGCTTCCTGCTGTGCAGCTGGGAGCTGCGCTTGCCTTCTGTGAAGCTGGAGCAGTGTCGATTCAGCGTACCGGTGGTTTCTTGGTCGCCGCTGTCCTCATAATCGCCTGGCTCAACCTCAGGTGCGGAATAGACAGAGTTGGTGACCAGTGGCAGAACGCGATTGGTGATGGTCAGTGGCTTCTGCTCTGAAACATGGAAGATTTGGCTGCTATTGTCATCGCTGTGATGAGCAAGTTGCCTTGGCTTTTGAATCTTCATCATGCTGACAATTGGGCTTTTGTTGGCCGGTTTCCAAAGGGACACGAAATGGGTAATGGTTGCAATTTTGACTCATGAAGTGGAGACTCCAGTTGCCTGTTGCCAGTCACCTCCATTGGTCATTTGTCCAATATTGAAGCATGGGCATCGATGGCAGGAGACCAATGACTGCATTCACAGCTGCTGTTGTGTTGTTAAAGGGTGAAACAACATACGTATTGCTGCCATGTTTCCGTCCAGCAATTTTTGTTCCTATTGTCGCATTGTGGATGCCATTCTAGTGCATATGTGGGTCTCAATAGCCAGTGAACGTCAACGAACATCGTCAGCAGCATCCACTTTGTTTGTGTTGTTCACGCGCTTCACAGTCTGGCTGGGCTTGACTTGGACCACAGGTTGATGTTTGATGCTGCTGTGCAGAATATGCCTACCTCTGCTGTCGGGTGTCCACAAACTTGGTGTCAATGATGTCATTGTTAACCTGTTCAGAGTGTTGAGGCTGGAAAATGTACGAAATGACATCAACGTGTTTTGTGCTTTTGTGTCATGAATGCTAGTGAAACAGATATGGTGTCATCAACTGTGTAACAAAGGGAATCCTCAAAGAATCCTTGAATGGCAGTCCAAAAGAGTTTAGTGGATATTCCTGCAGCAGGCTGGGCACCTCACCAAAAAGACCACCATATATATTCTTTTTAACACACGGTCAGAGTTGGGCGACCTTTTTGGAACGTGCCAGAGTCAGTGCCTTTGGCTTCAGCAACCAACAGTATTCCTCTGGCCAATGGCGTGCATTGGACATGTAGCATGTAGAGTCCAAGGACCCATCTCCCGCCCAGCAGTGTTTGCACCCCAGTCACAAGTTTCAGCAGTCCATGGCTCCCACGACCGACTGTTTTTATGTGTTTGCTTCAGCAATGACTTCTTTGACTCTGAAACTGGCGTGGATGAAAACAAGAACGAGTCAGTCGTCAACCTCACTGGCAAACCCAATATGGTGTTCTTGACATCGTTGGCCTTTTTGGGAGTGGGTGTTGGCTTGCTTGGCTGGCTGTTGGCTGGCAGTGGTGCGCATCAGAGTGCAGTCTTGCTTGCTGCTGCAATCGCCTGTGGTTATGTGTACCAGGGGCCGCCATTCAGGTGACAGACCTACGCACAGGTGTTTGCTTCTGCCCTGTCGAAGCACAGCCACATGTTGTTCAACTTTCTGTGCTTCCAGTTCTGAGCAACGGAAATGTTCACACCTTTTCCACAGACTTTGTTGGTGCTTTTGGTGCATGGCAGTCGTTGCTGGGGCTGGTCAATGCTGTGTTCTTCATTTGATTGCAAAACACTTAAAGCAGGCAATGACCTTGTCGCACATTTGGTGTGGTGTGCGCCATCGTACTTGATGTAACACGTTTCGAAGACCAAGTGCTGTGAAGCTGCAGCTAACCCTGTTTGCTGTGTGTGCAGGTTGGGCTACATTGGCCTTGGGGAGCCTCTGTGTTTTCTCGCGTTTGGGCCTCTCGCCGTTCAGGCATTTTCTTTGGCCCTACGTCCCCAGGTTTTCCAACATGCAGTTTTCAGCGCCGCATCTTGGTGGACATCAATTTTGGTTGGGTTGACCACCACGATGGTCCTTTTTTGCAGTCATTTTCACCAGCTGGAAGGGGATCGAGCTGTTGGGAAGATGTCGCCCATTGTCAGGCTGGGATCGACAGGGAAAGCTCATCATGTGAGTTGGTATTATCCAAACCTCGAAAGTCGGTGTCAAGTGCCCGTGTGCAGCAGTCCATGTTTACGCTCATGTGGCCTCTCGTACGCGTCTCAACCTCAGTATGTGCCATTGTCCCATGTCTTACGTTCCAGAGCCGCCACTGCTGTCTTGTGCCAATTTGTAATGACACATGCTGCCGTGCATCAATTATCCTAGAGTGTTAAAGAATGGCAGGATCAGAATCCTTTTTCCTTTCTGTAAGTGAAGACACTATGTCGAAATCGGTACGCTTAGCATCAGTTTGACGCTAAAAGAAGGATGGGGTGGGGGGCCTGAGCTTATCGTAAAATTGACGCTAAGCATACCAAAATCGACAGAGCGTCTTCCCTACTGAATCCCGTTTCTTTTCTTTCAAAGGTCCCATTTTCTTGTCTGAATATGCTTTGTTGTAGTGTGCACACAGCAGTAAGATTTGCCCTTTTGCAGAGGTGTGAGGCGCAGAACTGGACGCAGTCGACACTAACTGCACTTGTCAGTTGCTGCTGCTGGACTTTCAATGCTTGCTGACAGGGGTTATTCCTTCTTGTTTGTCACGGATTGCACATGTTTCCAGCCAGCCACTGGGAAGTTGTGGCTGGGTTTAGTTTGGGATTTGCTCCTGGCGCTACGGGCATAAGGGAGCTGGTAGTCTGACTTGTGTGACTCGCTTGTGCATGCACAGGTCCTAAGGTGGTCCGTATTCTCCGTGTTCGTCATGGCCGCCACAGGGGTGTTCCTTGGCCACCTCCCATGGACAGTCGTGGCAGTCTTGCCATTTTGCACACCACAGGCCAGGGCCTTGCTTGCATTCGCCGCAAAACATTACAGCAACCCTGAGAGGATTCGGCCCTTGAAGCTGTACGCTTTGAATCTGCACTCAGCTTTGGGCTTAGCTCTTGCTGTCGCCCTCGCAGCATCCAGAGTCAAGCTGCAGCTGGGCATCTGACGGCTCTTTCGTGGACATGGGAGAATGCTTCCCATTGGTTCCCCCCTGCATTATGGTGCTGCCTGAATGCCAGCGGGCGTTAAACTGTTCAGATCAGAACTGCGCATGTGTGCGACAGCATTGGCGGCACCACCCAGGTTGCGCCAGTTGGCAAGGGTATGCTTTTGGAGTTCTGCTAGCAGTGCTTCTCGGACCCTGTGGACCACGGGGCGTTTGTGCCACGCTCGAATGTGGACCTGCCCTGGGTGATCGGTGTTGTGGGCTCAACAGGGTTTGGGTGCCAGGACTGTAGAGCTGTGGGGAAGTGCCTGGGTGCCATCATACGATGGACGCTAGCGGAAAATCGAACTCGCGGAGCTAGCAATTTGTTGCTTCCTCTGGGCGTCCGCTGAATGATGTGCCCCATGGGTTTTTTTCGCGGAGAGCCTTGATAAAACGCACAGATTCATCTCTGCACTTCGGCACACGCTATTCAGGCCATCGTCTCTTGCGGTGGGATGCTGTGGGTCACTAGTGTAAAGGGGTGTTTTCCGGACGCGTCGCGGACACTCCAATGAGTGTCGCGGACAATCAAAATGAGTGTCCCCAGCGGAGACTGACCGCGACACTTTTTACGCCATCCGCGATAGTGTCGCGGACGCTTCACATTGCGGGTCGTGGGAGCGTCGCGGGCAGTGACGGGGACAGTGACGGACACGTTCTGGTTGGCGTCGCGGTCAGTGTCGCGGACAGTGTTTAGCGCCGCGGATAGTGTTGTGGACACTGCCCTTGGCGTCGCGGTCAGTGTCATGGACATGGTTTGGTGTTGCGGATAGTGCCAGGGACACTGCCCTTGGTGCCGCGGACAGTGACGCCGATAGTGCCGTGGACGCTATAGTGGCGTTGCTGGCGAATTCCCTCGGTGCAACGTTCAGCGGCGTTCTGTTGCCGGACTTGTGGTGATCGCAATCGTTTACAATTTCTGCTTACAACCTCCGGCTACAACTTTTGCTTAAACCTTGTGTCCACACCTATCCTCCACCCCACTCGAGCACCCCCAGCATCATGGCACCACCACACCCCGCGCTAGCCATTTTGCATTGCCAAAGAAGCACGCCATGCCTCTTTTCCCGTTCTCCAACCTGCTTGTGGTGACCTTGCTGTGGCTTCTGGGCCTACGCGAACGAGAGCACACCAACACACACACTCAGTACACCGCACCTGACCTGCCCCTCCTCAACGCAGCCCAATCCGGATCGGCGGATCCGCCGATCGGCGGTTCCGCGGAACCGCCATCGCCCAAGCCCCCAAGGCCGTTTGTTGTCACAGACCCGTCGCCGCGATCCGCCACTGCGATCCGCCTTGCCAACCCGCTCGCCACGATCCATCGTCGTCAGTGCCGCCTCCCACGTGTCGTCCACCCACCGCCCCCGCACAACACGCCTACAAAACTCGTCTCTTGCCCATTGCGATGGGCACAAGTGCTCATCGGCGGCACACTTCGGCGGCGCGAAGTTCCCAGCCCACCCGTCCGTGTCGAGCTGCGGACGCCCGTCCTTCACCTCCATATCCTCACCTGCCGGCGTTGCTTTTTCCTTGCTTGACGGAGAGGGCCCCGGGCCGTGGGGTGATTTTGGCGGCTGTGGAGATCCCAATATGGATGAGGTCTGCGATTCAAATTCGTGACTGGTATACTCGTCTAACAAATTGATGATGTGCCTGAGGCCGTCCGGGCAGCGGCCATGGTGTCCACGACGCTGGCTGTGTGACCGCGTCAATATCCGCGACAGTGGCCAAGATGCTGACTGTATTTGGGATGATGGCTGTGTCCGCGACGGTGACCGCGACGGTGACTTTTGTGGCCGCGTCAGTGTCCACGGCAGTGACCGCGACGGTCTCTATATCCGCGGCATTCCCTTTTGCTTGGGGAGTGTCGCCGACAGTGACGGCGATAGTGTCCAACATGGAGTCAGCGTCCGGGACACTTGGGTCACCGTCGCGGACACTCATTGCAGTGTCCGCGACGCGTCCGGAAAACTGCCCGGTCTACTGGTGGGTGGCGGAACAGCAGTGCACATTACGCCAGCAGCAGTTTGAACACTTGCACAAGGACAGCACGACAACCGCTTCAGCGCAAAGACTAGGCATAAGCAGGCACAACACAATGTGCCCTTCTGAGGATGTGGACGTCGTTGCTTTGCAGGTCTTGGGGTTCGACAGGGACACGGATGAGCATCGGATGCGCACACAAGTTGGAATTGTGCTTGATTGCATTTTCACCATTGATGACACCTATCATGTGCCTGCTGGGCGATGACAAGCATTTTGAACATTCGCATTTGTGGATGCTCTTGATTTGCCAGAGGCAGCTGTGCTGAGTAGTGGTGTGCAGAGTTTTTTCCTTTAAGGGGTGTTTGGGCCGGTGGGGTAAGGGGGGGGGAGAGGGGGCCGGGGGAAGGGGAGTTTGTGCGAACCGGGAAACGAGACAGCTATCTGTCTCGGAAACTCTGGGCATGACTCCAGGATTCCGTCAACAGCACTATTGCTCATAAGGGCACCAAGGCAGATACAGTTCGTTGCCTCTTCAGCAACTGGTGAATCGAGAGAGCAGAGTCACAACATATCCCTTCAGTCGTGTTCCCATGCTGGGCCTGCCATTGAGTTGACACATCGAATGGATGGACCACATTAGTGGGTCACCTGTGTGCACAGTGTACCAATGCAGCAGACTACATCGAGTTCCAGAGGTACAAATATGACTTGGCTTCATGGTCTTTCAACCTGGTGGCGAAAGCAGGTTGTCATTAGCCAAAACTGGTTGGCAGGTTGGCAGGCCGGATACTGGAGGCGGTGGTGCTGCCTCACCACAGAAAGGACCAGGGCTCTGCAACCAAGCATGCATCGCATGAAAGCATTCACAAAGGCTCCCAAGGTTCACCCAATGCTCTGAAGTTCACAAGGTGTACAACCTTGACTGTGAAGTGCAACCAAGGCACCCAAAGCACCATCAGCAACATCTCGAGGGTATAAAGAGACCCAAATCCATTCATGCCTGCACTACAGTGGTAAGATGATGTCCACGCATACCCTTGTAGCAAGACTACCTTCTCTCCATGCTACCAACTGATGGTGGGTACCTCAACCATCCATAGTGTGCGGTGTGCCACAACAGTAGGTAGAGTAGCTACCATGACACCACATCCAACAAGCGTCACCAGCTATACTAAAACCAGCCCCTCCTCTGCAATGCAACTGCCACTGAGCCTAACCACTACAATGCGCGGACATTCTCTACGCTCCACGCACCTAGCAACAACACAACCCAGTGAGTCTAATGGGCACTGAAGGTTGGGGCTTAATAGTTTACCCTCACAGCAGCAAGCAGCTCAAGGCAAGAGGGCAAGCATTCAGCAGCAGGGGCAGCAGGCTTTCCACGCCTTCCTCACGGTGTACGAGATTGAGCCGGATCGAAGGAAACAATACTGTCTGAATCTCACAAATAGGCCTCAATGCAAGGGATGGTCACAATACTAGCAGCTGCATGCAGACAAGAGAGTGCATGGCACCAGCAGTGGAACAGGGAAAGATCGGGCACAGCAGCAGCTGCAGTTTACCACTCCTGATGCAGATGTACACCACCAGTCAGATGGACATGTAAGTGAAGGAAGCAGACCAACATTGTTTGGTTGCTCCTAAGGCCGTCATCACGGCTCTGGACGCAAGCGCTTTGCTCCTGCACGTGTTTGGCCAGGATAACAAACGGAATCCACACGCCGCTGGCAAAAGTGACAACCTAGAGTCTGTCAGGGCTGGTGGTCAACGCACCTTTCCGATCACGTGCAGCAGTGTCACAAATCCAATGAAGCCCAGGCTCATGATCACGACCACCACCTGACCACAGCGCAAATGCACCTCAAGAGCTGTGAACAGCTCCCCAAAGGAACCAAGCCAAGTTGGGTAAACAATGCAGGGGCCCAAAAGGCCATCTGTTTTTGTTTTTGGAAACACTTGCGTGTCCGAGAATTGCCCAGAGGGCTGGGCTCCGGTGACAGCTTTACCAAAGGGATTGTGAACAGCTTCACCAAAAGGAACTCGCAAAGCGCAGCATCACAATCAAAAAGCGGAGCGCAGTATACAACAGCCTGGCAGATCTTTCAACCCCACAGGATCTGACCCACGAGGAGGGTCCTCAGCATGGAACGCGCCAGCAGGCTCGGCATGCGCCCACCCCGATCTAACGACCCCGGCTGGCTGCCACTGCAGCCTGCAAGGCATCCAGCGCGCTCACCGGCGGGATCTTGAGCCCCGGAGAGTCGTCCGTGTAGAAGTTCATTAACCCCTGCGACACGCGGCTCATTCCACCGCCGCTGGGGCCTCCCGTACCGCTCGAGGTCCGCCCCGCTGCCCGCGACGGCGCACAAACAACCGTCAGAAACTTCGAGTACGCCGTGCCAGTGCGAGTTGGATATGACTTGCACCGTGCACACCCGGACCGGCCAAGCGCATCCTCGCCAACGCCGGGCCACGGCGGGCTCTCCGCAGCCCGACGGCCGTGGCAGCGGCAGCCCGCAAGTCGAACACGAGCGAGGGGTACTGGATGCGCCGCTTTCCGAACATCGGCGATAGCGCCGTGCTCACCGGTTCGCCTCCGGAGGGCCGCTGCGGGAGGCGCGGTGCTGCCGCCTCGGCCACCACCGCCCCTGTTGCCGGCCGTGGTGCTGGTCTGGCTCATGCTGCCCTTCGCCATGGCGTCGAGTCGCCGGTGCGCCGCTTGCAGGAGGGAGGCTGGGGCGGGGGCGGGCGAGCGTGCGCGTCGGGTGCGGGCAGGGACAGGTGTTCAGGACCTGGGGAATGGTTTCTCGGGCGGCTCACTGTTCATGTGTGGGGAGGGTATATCACACCTCAGTGCTGGGAAGTTCTTGCAGGCCGCCTGTCTTACGTTGGAGCCCCGCTGCCTGGAAGCAAACAGTGATTTGGCATTGCCACAGAAAAAAACACTGAAGTTAAACCAGGCTGAACTCTGCCAGCCTTCTTGCAAGACGTTTTGCCCAATGTGTCAGCATCGACAGTTTCTTTCGGGAAATTAGGAATTGGCAGCTTCTGGACCTCGTTGGTGCAGTACCCTTGATTTTCAATGCACAAATCGTGAGCTCCGCATTTCTTGGGCACTAGAGTGACCTGACGGCCACATCTTTGGTTTGCTATGTAGTGTTGCTTGAACGAATGACGTGCCACGCAACGTATGGGCCGCTATACTGCAGCACGATCCCATAGTGAGTCAAGAGCAACCTTCACCTGAAGAACCCACGCCCGTGCAAACGAACGAACCTAAGGAGGACGACATAACGTTGGCCGAAAGGCCAGGAAAAAGGTGGGTTGGCCAAAGCGCACCAGCACTCCGAAATGGCGACTTCAACTCGATCAATACTTTCCAATTTCCATCACCCTCAGGAAGGTGCAGGGACCTTACAAACTTCAGGGAAAGGCGGATCCAGCCATTGATACGTAGCTGGCACAACGCCTGGAAATCGACAACTACTTCTCTGTAAAACATGCAGAGCCAAAAACACATTGGCGAGCTGATCAGCCGAGACTGTTATTAGCTGAGTTCCCTCAGCTTACAAGCAACAATGGACAGTGGAAGCAAGGTTGCAGGGCCAGTTAATTCGCCAGAGGAAAGGGAACCCCACGGTGAGGAGAGCTATCCCAGTGTGAAAATGTGCCATCCTGCCATGCAGTGGGCACTTTAAGCAATGCCACATAGTGGCACCTACAACACCACAATCTACAAATTTGAAGCAGCCAATATTCCGATTGCTGGAACTCCACACACTCACCCCTGATGCCGTTGAGTTCATCTTTTGCCACTGTGTTTTAACCAAGGCAAAATAGGATAGCTCAATGAGTGACATGTGCAGTTGTGCTTTCCATGGCATTTGGCTTACACTCCTTGTACAGCACGCTCCTGTTGTGCCGCCCAATTAATAAAATAACCAAAAAAGGTGAAAACTTTACAGTTGTCATAAAATGACCGGCACAATAAACAGCATGCGACCTGGTCACAGATGCGTTTTCACTGGAGAAGCAAATTCGATGGATATGATGAAATGTTAGTCATACCCAGAGACCCCCAAACGCGGCTGTGGACTGGCAGCGGCCCCCTGGTGCCGCTTGGAGTTGAACATTCCTAACAAGTATATGTTCCCCAATATTCAGACAACACCTGATAGGTGAATGTGCAGTGACTTGCCACATCAAGGCAGGAATCAAAGAATTCCGATGCTGTCTACTCCAGATATCGGTATTACTTGGACTGGGGCAGGGTTTGTAAGAATCTGAGGCCTGGAAGTTCCTACAAACCATTGTTCTGATCGGTACACTAATGACCCAAACATGCAGTGGGTAACCTGCATTGCTGCGCAATGATCATAGGGAATGCCTCCTCAGACAAGCTACTTCAGACATACAGTTCATTGAAGGGCAAACATCTTGTGTATTTGTCAGTTGCTCTGTCATCCATTGGAGTTTAATTGGACAGGATTCTTGACAATGTTTCTTTCTTTTCTTCTCGTCAAGCAGCAAGAGAGAGCATGTAATTGAAGTTAGATAAGGCTCCCAAACTGCCCACTCGTTGCAATGTGGAGCAAATGGAGCTCCCTTCTAGTCAGCTTGGCAAAGTCTGATATTCGCCAAAACAGGAGGGAAGTGATAGTCAAAGCTCTTTAAAGGTTGCCCTCTGTGCGCTATTCCCCTGCCTACTTGTTCTCCTTTGTTTGGACAAAGTGATCCATGAATGAGAGCGTTGGCTGTCTCTAAGGGCAGCTTGGATGCCATTTCACCGCATTGCAGCAGTCGTGGACTGCGATCCTCACTTCCAAAAAGAATGGGGACTTCCACAATCGAGCAGGAAGAGGTGCAACGACGGTTCATTGCTGCAGCTGCTGACTGGGCAGCATGCAGATTGATGCCACTGCCCCACTGTTATGATACAAGACAAGAGACAACATGCTCGACAAAATCGGCAGGGACACAGCCATATCAACAGTTCACGCCCCAACTGTCAGCTCCACCAAACCTCCCAATCGCGTGACCCTTCTGCGTAACTTTTATGTGGGGGCCAAAATGACCCACATTTCGACAAGAATACCACTCACGACACAAATCCTCCACAGCCCATCAGGGCCTTCTGCCTCCATTACCCAACAGCCCGCCATTTTGGCGGCACCTGTTTGTTTTGTCTTCGCCCCTAGCAAGGGCCAGGCAACGCAATTCCGCCTGGGAGGTCGAATTCTGCGTTCATCACGTCTCTGTGCGCCCCGAGGTGCGGGTCTGAGTCACACAGCCTTTATCAGCACCAGCACCGAATGGAACTCGCCAATGCAACGAATGGAACCCAAACCAAAACCAAACCGACAAACCGCATATATTTAACTCCATACCAAATAATATTGAATCTGATACCAATCTGCCGCCGTACCAAATAAAGTTGAAACTGGCACCAATGCATATTGAATCTGGTACCCAAATTCGCGCCGGTACTAAAAATGTTGAACGGTGTACCAAAAAGTGTTGAATCAGTACCAATTGCTCATCGAACTGCAGTCTGCGACCAGCCCTGCGACCAGCATTGGGCTTCCGCTTGGTTTAGGGTTTAGGGTATTATGAGCCCTTATGGCGGCAGCAATTTGATGGCTAATTGGTACTGGCTCAAAATTTTTTGGTACACCGTTCAACAATTTTGGTACCGGCGTGAATTTGGTACCAGATTCAATATTATTTGGAGCTCGTTTCAATTTTGTTTGGTACGGCGGCAGCGTGGTACCAGATTCAATATTATTTGGTACGGAATTAAATAGGTTCTGAAGAAAACTCGACGCTGCAGGGAAATAGGCGATACGTCGATGCAATTGCGACACGTCCTGCAGACGGAATGCGCTGATGGCTGTTTGGTGCCCTCGCGCAACACACCCGGGTCGCAAACCAGACAGGCCTCCCCGGCTGTGGCCCAGAACACCGCGCGCGGCCCTCACCAAGGCGGAGGCTCGCCCAGGGACGCACCCACCAGCGGCGAGCAATTCCACATCTCCCCGGGCACGCAGGGGAACGCGAAGGGTTCCCCCAGGGCCCCTCGCGGCGACCTGCGCGCCGCAGGCCACAGGCGCAGCCGCACCCGTCCCCCCGATTAGCGACTCCTCGCCGCGCCGGCAGGAGACACGCCCAATGAACGATCCCGCTCGAGGTTGGAGCCCGATGGGGCCCAATGCGCGGCGGCGGCCCTGCGCCAATGCGACCACCCACCTCCTCTCCTCCGGCGTTCTTTGGCGTGCCGTAGGGGCTCATCGCGCGGACCCTGCGTGCAAGGCGCACCGGCGCGGTCAGATCCGCGCCGGATCCCGCCGTCCCGTCCCAGCCAGATCATCAGCCCCCCCGGGCGAAAGGCCCTGCGGCCGGTCCTGGGCATGCGGCTGCGCACCTGGCCGATCGCCGCACGGTGACGCCCTCCTCCTTCACGAACATCGACCCCCCGGAGTTGCGCAGCTTGGCCGCCTTCTTGGGCCGCGGCGCCTTGGCCCGGCCGCCCGCCATCAGCTTTATGGCCACGACGGCCAGCAGGCCCACAGCGATCACGACGGCCGCGAGCGTGGCGGAGTCGAACAGGGGCCGGCGCAGGAACCCGGCATCGGGGGTCCCGTCGTCGGCCATGCCGGCCGGGGCCTCTTCGCTCATGGCGGCCGGGGATGGGCGGAGGTGGGCGCTAGGCGGGCGGCGCGCGCCGCATCACAGAGGCGCCGCTGCTGGGCGCCTGGTGCCGGCGGATTGGGGGCGCGGGCGACCGAGGGGAGCGGATTTTGCGCGGGGAACGGGGGACGGGAGAGCTGGCCCCGCGCAAAAAAATGCGGGGTACAGGGGGCGGGGTTTGGCGGTCTTGCCACGCCATCCTGCGAATTAGCCGTGGGAAGTTGAGAGGTCAGGAGCGCGTGTAGGCGCCGATTCCTGTGTTGTTCTGGTTAATCTTTGGGGGTGCGAGCCGCGGCAGCCGTCGTGCAATGCGTGGGCGCCAATGAGCCCGGTGCGGTGCTGCTCGCGGGGCGCACAATGATCGCTGCTTGACTGGGCGCATCGCTATTGAGACCGTTCGGGAGCATTCGTTGTGGGAACAGGATGGCCAGGGCGCAGGGATTCACATTGGGGCCATTCCATGGGTTGCCTGAAAACTTGTGTTCTCCGCAGCAACAGCCAGCATGCACTTAAATCTGACATTTTCCCATGTAAAGATCGTGGCCGAAATGTGGCCGAAACATGGCCAGACCCTCCGGGTGGCACAGTGAAAGTCTGTAAAGATTCGTCCATCCCCTACCCCAGAGCGGTTGAACACAGCGAACAAAGGCGGTGAGATTGGGTCGCTTTGCATGCATGTTGCTGGCAATCGGCTACAGAAACACGGGCAAACCTGCCCACTGGCCATGCATGTTTAGGCGCATGCAGTCCAAAGGGACATGGACAGAAACGCTGACAGAAACCGCAGCGATTGTCACAGATTTACCCAACCAAGCCGGACGGCGAGCATGCTGTGGGTGCACACGCCGAAACCCGAACGTTTGCGACCGAAAACCGCTGGCTTTGAAGCCAAACTGGTCGGGCTGCACGCCACGACCTGTGTACAAAGGCCACACACTCAGAGAACACCAGCAAGGTGCTTACAACTTTAAAAAATGTTGTTCGTTGCGTTGCATCCCCTCCAAAAGTGGGCAGCGCGACCTTGTGGCTCTGCACATGTCGGTTCTCATACGATTCGTTCCCAGCTCGTCCTATCCCCGAACAGGGTCCCATATTTGTAAGCTATTACCAGCCGCTCACTTAATCTTCATGCAAAGATTGCATTAATAGCACACAACACGCAGCCTAGGATACAGAAAAAACGCCATGTGAGCCCTCTGCCCTTCGGTCATCAGATTCGATTTAAAAATTGCCGCACTACACACAGCTGTCTCCATGGCAGTTCAAGTGACACATGTCACTCAACCAGCGCACCCATATCCATGCTATCCATGTCAGCACAAGGCAAAACAAATGCCACCTCTGATGTTCAGCAAACGGGTCATATCGCCATTCTGGATGTCAAGTGCCACTAGAAAAAACATAAAAACCATCAATTGTAAAACAGAAAAGACTCGACATCACACATATATGCAAACCATCTCGAACCGTTTTCACATCATTTCACATCACTCGCAGCTGTCACTGAGGAGCCAAACATGCAGCATTCTGACAACTTAGATCATTTTCTGATGGCCCAGCTGGGCATCATACCCTTGAGTCGCAATCGAAGTTTGAGTTCAGCGCACTGACGTAGTGCATGCCCACAGCTATGTCTGCATTGGGTTGCTCTGGCCATGGCTTAAATGGCCATTGATGATGCTCAATGTCCCTTGCTGTCGATGATCTGATCCTCAATTGCACCGCAGTCTGCCAGAGTTTATCCGTTGAATTCTAGACCACATTTTGGGCCTCACGGGGCGCCAGCTTCGAGATAGTACGTAGAAAATTGATTGCCAATCATTATATTAGATTGATTCATTTATTGCCGGCCCGAACACTCAAAGATATAGAACACATGTTTGAGTGGATTGTGATGGGAAGAAATATGTTTTGTCCAACATGCGCATTGAAGTTTCCATATTGTTGCTTTCACGGATTCCATCAGATCTCACCGCTACGGTTCGCGACTAGTTGAAATCGAGAATCTCTTCGAAGAGATTCCCATGAATTCACGGGCTACTAGCAGGGAATCTTGTTACGCGCACCAGCCTGATGTGGGAGACGTCCTACTAATGGCCCTTGGTGTGGGGGACGCCCTGCCCAAGGCACGTACTATTCCTCACCCAATGTAACCTTTATCCATATTAGGATACGGGAGTAGGAGGGGTGGTCCCGCCTAGGTGCCCTGTAAGGATCTAGGTGCCCGGCGAGGCGGGTCCGCGGCTCAAAGAGGGCAGGAACCCCACACCCAGATCCTATTCGTAACATTTGGTTTCGGAGCCGCCTGAGGGTGGCGGCCACGCTTCCACCTGGGAGCGCGCGAGAGTACGAGACGCCGGAGCCCTTCCCCGGCCTCCTCCATGGAGGCTGAGGAATCGGAGGGACAAGCCCGGGATGGGCAGGGGGAAGGATCAGCCCGAGAGGGGCAGGAGATCGATACAGCCCGGGATGGGCAAGGATCTGGACAAGCCCGGGATGGGCCTGGAGGAGGACACGTCCGGGAGGACGAGGCTGAACCCTCCACAGCCGCATCGGTGCCCGCCCAAGCGGACCAACCGATGGAGGAAGCAGAGGCCCCGCCAACAAAGGAGCAGGGGGCCATGAAGGCATTAATGGAGACCCCTGGTGTGTTGGAGCTTCTGCAGAAGATGGCGGACGCCGCGGCCGAGAAAGCGAGAGTGAAGCGGGACGAAGAGACCGCCGAGAAGATCGCCTCGCTTGAGATCGCCGCGGACCAGGCCAAGAAGGAAGCCCGAAGGCATGAAGTGGCTCTGAAGAAGGCGAAACAACAGAGCCGAGAAGCCAAGGAGGCCCAACGCTCCGCCCAAGGCCATGTCCAGGCGTTGAGTGAACGCCTCCTGAAGCAGAAGCAGCGGGCGCAAGAGGCGGAGGAAAAAGTCGCACAGCAGGCGATTCAGCCCGTGAGGGCCCCTAGTCCGTCGGAGCTGCCCATGCCGACCATTCCAGAAGCCGAGGGCGACTGGAAGATTGTTGGCAAGCAGCGCCCCAAGCGGAAAAGCCCATCGCCAGGTGAGCGACTGCGGAAGGTTCGATCATCTCCCTACAAAGGTCGGGAGGCCAAAGCCTTAGGGCGCATTGAGAAGGAGAAAGGCCGGAAGGTCAAGTTCCCAGAGCTGCGGCTCAAATCCCAGGTGCATATTCGAACACCTAGTGGATTGGACGGGACTGGAGATGAGTCGCTCACAGAAAGCGCTCAAGCTGTTTGCGGCAAAAGTCCGCCAAGGCCGGAAGGTCATGATTGGAGCCCCCGGAGACCACCACTACCTGAGTGGGGACCCGGAGAAAGTTCTCGAGGGCTGGAATTTATTCCAGACACTGACGATCCGTATAGCCGGCAACCCCCGTGCCGTGCGAGGTGGACAAAGTTCCATAGCGATCGTCTAGAGGATCTCGATGAAGGTTGGCAGATGGCCGCAGAATGTTTTGGGGAACGGTTGACCACCGCCAGACTGATCCGAATTCAGAGGTGGTATGGTCCGGGTATGGCAAAACAAATTGCCAAAGAGGACCCAAATTGGCCAGAAAAATGGCCTTTGCGCTCAGACATATTCCAGAACCATGGGACTTGAGCGATGGGAGTCCAGAGAGACCAGACCCTAATGATCCCCACGAGCGGTGGGAGGAGATCTCGGAATTGTCGTTCTCGTCATGTGCTTCTCCTTTGCCGGGTGATATGTCAACCCGTGCACAAGTGCATAGAATGGAGAAGGAGAGACGACGGATTCGTAACCGAGATCGTTTTGCTCGTGCAAAGAAGTTGGACGAGAGAAAGGCTCGAAAGGCCAGTCAGCGTAGGGAGCTGAAAGCCGTCAGGCGTGAAAGGGATAAACAGTTGAATCCCGATAAGTATGAGCAAAAGCGAGCTCATAAGCGCCGACGAAAGGCTGAGATCAGGCGGTTTTTCTCCGCAGGAGGCAGCCAAAAGGCGCAGCGCCTGGAGGTACAGCCCAAGGCTGATGAGCTGGATCCAGCCAAACAGGCTAAGGCTTTCGCTAGGATTGCTTCAAAGGAGGGGACCTCCACCCACTGGGCAGATCAGCTGGACAGCAGCGGAAGTGATAGTGGCGTACGCCACCCCGCTCGCTTTGTCCCTACCCAACCGGAACCGGCATCGCCATCGGTTGTGGTAACCAGCGGTCCTAAGGTGCAAAGGATGCCGGAGAGGGAGACCCCGCCTGGAGAAGCAAAGGCAAAAGAACAGCCTGATAAGGCAAAAGACCCGCTTGCAGAGGCGAGAGTACAGCCTAGAAAGGCAAAGGAGGAATCCAAAGGCTCGCAAAGGCCAGTTTCAGGTAATCATCCTGTTGAACTGTCTTTGCTGCGACCTGTTGTGAGTACACAGTTGCGTAACCGTGCAGAAATCAATGATTCTGCTGGTAACGACGACGTGGTGTATCTTGGTTCGGCAGGTGCCCCTGCTGCTCCAATTCCCCTCGAGAGGAGGGAGACCTATGAGATCCTGCAGAGACAGGAAGCTGCTTTGCAGAAAGCGAAAGCGGATGCAGAAAAAGCTGCACAGCTGCGCTCCATCATGGGAGATGAGGATTATGCAGTATTTCTGCAGCTTCAAGAAGCAAGCAGATTTCTCATGGACGGCAGGAAATTGCCTACAAACCGGCGAAACCGGGGCCTGGATACCAGGAACGCCGCGCCCAGCAAATGGCGGCCGATCAAAGTGGACGTGCCAAGGTGCCGCACGAGGCTGCAAAGCCCACCCCTGTGATGCGTGCCCCTGTCATACAGGACACGAGGGGCTTTTGGGATACGCTGGGTGCCTTTCATGACCCTCATGGAGGGGTATACTTTAAGGGGCATTATCATCCCCGTGGAGGCCATGCCCCATACAGGGCCCAAGTCCCAAGGGACGCCCTCCAACGTATACCCGGGAAAGTGCGTGGCCTCTTTGATGCGCAGCAGATGGCACTGGGGATATATGTGCCAGAGGG